CCTCTACAATTTGCCTACTTACGTAACAGGTCCAAAGCAGACACCATTTCCTTAGCCCTGCACTCATCCCTGAAATACCTGGACAACAAGGATACCTACATCAGACTTCTGCTCATTGACTACAGCTCTGCCTTCAACACCATTATCCCCTCCAGACTGATCTCAAAACTCCGAGACCTAGCTCTTGGCTCCACCCTCTGCAACTGGATCCTCAACTTTTTGACCCACAGGCCACAATCAGTTAAGGCAGACAACTGCACCCCCTCAACAATAACACTCAACACTGGAGCCCCCCAAGGATGCGTTCTCAGACCCCAACTGTGCTCCCAATACACCCACGACTCTGTTGCTAAATTCCAAATGAAGTTTCCTGACAACACCGCCATGGAAGGACGGATATCAAACAACGACGAGTCAGAATACAGAAAGGAGATAGAGGGCTTAGTGACATGTTGCAATGAGAACAACCTCTCTCTCAACTGATCATTGGCTTCAGAAAGAAGGGAAGAGAACACACCCCATTCTATATCAATGGAGCTGAGGATGAGAGGGTGGAGAGCGTCAAGTTCCTCAGAGTGACGATAACCGACAATCTGTCCTAGACTTCCCATGTAGATGAGATGGTCAAGAAGGCACAACAACACGTCTTCTTCCTCAGGTGGCTCAGGAAATTTGGCATCTCCATAAGGACCCTCACCAACTTTTACAGATGCATCATTGAAAGCATACTCTCTGGGTGCATAATGGCCTGGTATGGCAACTGCTCTGTCCTGGACCGAAAGAAACTACAGAAAGTTGTGTGCACAGCCCAGACCATCACGGAAGCCAACCTCCCATCCATGGTCTCCATTTATATGGACCGTTGCAGCAGAACAGCTGCCAACTTCAGCACAGACCCCTCGTACCCCGGTTAAGCTTTCCTACAATCTCTTCCATCAGGTAGAAAATACAGAAGCCTGAACACACGCACCACCAGGTTCAAGAACAGCTTCTTCCCGGCATTATTAGACTGATGAATGGACTCTCCAATTTCAAATCATGCTGATCTTGCTAACGTTGATCTTGCCTAGCACACGCTCTGTGCAATGTAACGTGTATGCCTTGTCCAAGATTTTTTCACCATATGATCTCTATGTCCTTGCTTACTATGATCGTAAACAAAGGTTTTCACTGTACTTTGGTACACGTGACAATAAATCAATCAATCAATCAATCTTCAGCTGCTTCATCTATGACCTTCCCTCCATTACAAGGTCAGAACTGGGGATGTTTGCCAATGATTACATCATGTTCATCGCAATTCATTTGATGTATGTGATACTGCTCAGGTACTGAAGCAGTCCACGTCCAAATGCAGCAAGACCTGGACAATATGCAGGCTTGGACTGAAACATGGCAAGTGACATTTGCACCACACAAATGCCAGGTAATGATCATCTCCAAGAAATGAGAATCTAATCCTTGACATTCATAGAACATAGAACATAGAACATTACAGCGCAGTACAGGCCCTTCGGCCCTCGATGTTGCGCCAACCTGTGAAACCAATCTGAAGCCCATCTAACCTAAACTATTCCATTATCATCCATATGTTTATCCAATGACCATTTAAATGCCCTTAAAGTGGGCGAGTCTACTATTTTTGCAGGCAGGGCATTCCACGCCCTTACTACTCTCTGAGTAAAGAACCTACCTCTGACATCTGTCCTATATCTATCACCCCTCAATTTAAAGCTATGTCCCCTCGTGCTAGCCATCACCATCCGAGGAAAAAGGCTCCCACTGTCCACCCTATCTAATCCTCTGATCATCTTGTATGTCTCTATCAAGTCACCTCTTAACCTTCTTTTCTCTAACGAAAACAGCCTCAAAACCCTCAGCCTTTCCTCATAAGACCTTCCCTCCATACCAGGCAACATCCTGGTAAATCTCCTCTGCACCCTTTCCAATGCTTCCACATCCTTCCTATAATGCGGTGACCAGAACTGTACGCAATACTCCAAGTGCGGCCGCACCAGAGTTTTGTACAGCTGCAACATGACCTCATGGCTCCGAAACTCAATCCCTCTACCAATAAAACCTAACATACTGTACGCCTTCTTAACAACGCTATCAACCTGGGTGGCAACTTTCAGTGATCTATGCACATGGACACCGAGATCTTTCTGCTCATCCACACTACCAAGAATATTACCATTAGCCCAGTACTCTGTATTCCTGTTACTGCTTCCAAAGTGAATCACCTCACACTTTTCCGCATTAAACTCCATTTGCCACCTCTCAGCCCAGCTCTGCAGCTTATCTATGTCCCTCTGTAACCTGCAACATCCTTCCGCACTATCCACAACTCCACCGACTTTGGTGTCATCCGCAAATTTACTAACCCATCCTTCTACGCCCTCATCCAGGTCATTTATAAAAATGACAAACAGCAGTGGCCACAAAACAGATCCTTGAGGTACACCACTAGTAACTGAACTCCAGGATGAACATTTCCCATCAACCACCACCCTCTGTCTTCTTACAGCTAGCCAATTTCTGATCCAAACTGCTAAATCACCCTCAATCCCAATTCAATGGTGTTACCATCACTGAATCCTCCACGATCAAAATTCTGAGGCGGGTGAGTTATCATTGACTAGAAACTAAACTGGACTTGCCATATTAATATAGTGGGTAAACGGGCAGGTCAGAGGCTATGAATACTCATTGATTAACTCCTCCCTGGCTCCCAATGCCACATCAGCAAGGCACAAGTTAGGAGTGTGATGGAATACTTTCCACTTGTCTGGATGGGTGCAGCTGTAACCGCAATCAAGAGGTTTGGTACCATCCAGGACAAAGCAGCCCACTTGATTGGCATCCACTCTCTCACCACTGATGCTCAGTAGCAGCAGTGTCAACAAGATGTACTGCAGAAAGTCAGTACCTTCAGGCAGATAGAGTTTAATTTAGATAAATATGAAGTGCTGCATTTTGAAAAGGGAAGTCAAGGCAGGACTTACACATTTAATGGTAAAGTCCTGGGGAGTGTTGCTGAACAAAGAGAACTTGGAGTGCAGGTTCATAGTTCCTTAAAAGTGGAGTCGCAGGTAGACAAGATAATGAAGAAGGCGTTTGGTATGCTTGCCTTAATTGGTCATTGCATTGAGTATAGGAGTTGGGAGGTCATGTTGCAGCTGTACAGGACACTAGTTAGGCCACTTTTGGAATACTGCATGCAATTATGGTCTCCCTGCTACAGGAAGGATGTTGTGAAACTTGAAAGGGTTCAGAAAAGATTTACAAGGATGTTGCCAGGGTTGGAGATTTTGAGATATACGGAGAGGCTGAATAGGCTGAGACCATTTTCCCCAGAGCATCGGAGGCTGAGGGGTGACTTCATGAGGGGTATGGATAGGGTGAATAAACAACGATTCTTCCGCTGGGTGGGGGAGTCCAAAACTAGAGGGCACAACTTTAAGGGACCTAAGGGGCAACTTTTTCATGTAGAGGGTGGTGCATGTATAGAATGAGCTGCCAGAGGAAATGGTGGAGGCTGGTACAATTACAGCATTTAAAAGGCATCTGGATGGGTATATGAATAGGAAGGGTTTATAGGAATATGGGGCAAGTGCTGGTAAATGGGACTAGATTTATTTAGGATATCTGGTTGGCATGGACAAGTTGGACCGACAGGTCTGTTTCCAAGCTGTACAGCTCTGCAACTCTATGACTGTATTGTATTATAGTTAGGGTATGTTATGTTGAGACAATGTCCCTTGAAGAGGTATGTCGCATGAGTACCAGAGAGCCAACAGCCAGGTTTGTTAGCTTGTTTCAGTATTTTACAAGAGTGCACAGTTCAGAATAGATCCTCCCTGTTGGGTTGCAGCAAACAATATGTTTGAATGTTCTTTAGTTCTGACTGGGGCCTAATAACTGCCCAATATAGGATGATGACAACTACTGTCTGGAAGGACAAGGACAGCAGATACATGGGAACATCATCTGTAAGCCACTTGCCTTCCTAATCTGGAAATCTATCACTGATCTTTCAGTGTCATTAAGTCAAAATCCTGAAAGTCTGTCTTTTATTAGCATTATGAGTCAAACCTACAGCACAGCGGCAGTACAAGAAGGCTGCTCATCACCACTGTCTCCAAGGCAACTAGGGATGGGCAATAAATGCTGGCCCAGCCAACAACAACCACTTCACCTGAATGAATAACAAAAAATTAGAGGAATAAACATTTCTGCTTCTGCATGCCTGACTCTGTATGTTAACCAATTATTGCATCTTCTTTGAGTAATTTTTGTTTTGATAATAAACCAATATTTATGTTTTTTAAAGAAACCCAGTCAATAAATCTTATTTAGAATTTGACATGGATAAGGTAGTTAATCGGTAATCTTGGAAGTGGAAAAAATATTATTCTTTTGTGTTGTATTCTGTAGACTTGTGGGTCTAGACCATGGTACATTCCTCCACCCCTGGTCGTACAATAATCCATGTGCTCACCAAGATCAATCAGGCATGTTGATTAATGGGGATGGTGGTTTAGTGAAGACTATTACCTCAACATTTAATAATATGAAAATCCCACTTTGCGGTCAGAAATGTGATCTTTGCAATTTGTACTCTCAGTGCTATAGATTAGTTTAGGCTTACACCTGAAGGAATAGTGGCATTAGGCCTGCATATTTTTATATGCTGTTGATCCAGTAGCTGATAATGTTCTGGTAAGACAAAGAGTGTAAGATGAATCAGTGGGTTTTTCCCGACATTCAACAATGGATTCATGGTCACTTTTGATTCTAAATTCCAGATATTTTATTGAATTCAAATTCCTCCATCTGCCGTGGAGTGAGGATGGTCCTCACCTACCACGTACAGGATCATAATCTGACATTTCTGCTCTGGTTTATTGAGGGCAGAATACAGGAGTGATTTAGAATGGTCAAATGGAGAGGAGATAAAGGGCTGAGAGTTTGAGCAGCGGAGATGAGAGGGGCTGGAACTGGTTCATGACACAGAGTGCGAACAGAATGTGATTGATCTGGGTTTCTTTTTGAAGGCAATGTTATTTTTCGTGGCAAAGCAACGGAAGCAAACAGGGCAGAGAGCCCTGGGGTGGGCGAGAAGCCTTTGCCTTTTCGATCCGGGTGGTGAAGGCTGGAATATTCACGGGGGATTCCCTCCGCCGATGTGGGCTGGCGGACGGAGAACGGAGCGGGGGAACTCTTGGGCGTGACGGCTGCAGTCAAGCCAACTTCAGCAGGGGCCGGGAAGGGCACACACACACCGCCCCGAAAGCTGGCAGCGAGGGTTTGTCGCCTGGGATGGCATCACACGGTAAGAGAACTCATTCCATTGCCAACTGCTGATGGGGAAGGCAGATCTGAGTGAAGTTGGGGGAGTGTTGACAATCCCAGTTGGTGAATTCAGCAACTTTTTTTTTGTCCACGGGATCGGTGAAATGTATATTTCCCTGGGGGAGAAGGTTACACCGGAGGTTAGCCGAACAAAAATATCACCTGCTCTAGCACTTTCCCTTAAGCCCGTGTTGACGGTGACAGTCTGAGGCACCTTTCTCCAGCTTGTTTTGTTTTAGCTGGTTTGCATTTGAAAGAGGGGACTAAATTACCGCAGGATTTTCTATCGAGTCGTGCGGCGGTCCTGCTGGAGAGTTTGACCCTTGTGAATCCCTGAAGTAAAGTGTTTCCTGTCATTGCAGACTGTGCGGAGCAGCAGTGGGTTGAAAGAGCCACATTGCTGCTAATACGAAAAGGCAACCGATTCAGTCTGTTCCCTGCCGGAAAATATGTTACAAGTGAAATACAATACTGCTGGACTTTGTTTTTATTTCTTTTCAATTTAGAGGGTTTTGGATGCTCCGTCGTCGAATTTATTGAAGGTGGGGGACAGACAGATGTTTAGTCTGTAATGGAGTCTCCAAAGGATAAAGGGACCAGGCTGGAAAGCGAGGTGGAGGCTAAAGATCAGCCATAATGACACTGAAGGGCTCAGCAGCCTCGATGGGCCAAATGGCCTACTCCTGCTATTATTTCTTATGTCCTTATCATTGCTCGAGCTTGGGCTGCTGAGGCCCGAAGCTAGTGTCTCCCTAACATTCTCCTCACTGTGGTCACAGCTGAGGCATGGAGGGCTGAGGGGGAGGGCAGGGATGGAGGAGAGAGGGAGGGTAGGGATGGAGGGGAGGGGGAGGGGAGGGAAGGGGGGGGGGGGGAAGGCAGGGATGGAGGTGAGGGGGTGTGCAGGGATGGAGGGCTGAGGGTGAGGCCAGGGATGGAGGGGAGGGAGAGGGCAGCGATGGAGGGGTGGGGGAGGGTAGGGATGGAGGTGAGGGGGAGAGCAGGTATGGAGGTGAGGGGGAGGGCAGGGATGGAGGGCTGAGGGGGAGGGCAGGACGGAGGACTGAGGGGGAAGGCAGAGATGGAGGGGAGGCAGGGATGGAGAGGTGGGGATTGCAGGTATGAAGGGGAGGGCTAGGATAGTAATGGAGGGGATGGGGAGGATGGTGCTGAGGGGAGGCAGGGATGGCAGGGCAGGGATGTAGAGCTGAGTGGTAGGACAGGGATGGAGGGGTTGGGGTACAGGAATGGAGGGGAGAGGTGGGTTGGGATGTAGGGGAGGGGAGGGCAGGGAAAGGGAGGTGGGAGATGTAGGGAAGTAGGGGATGGGTGGACAGTGAGGGAGGCGTGGTGCTCTGTAGCAGCCATACTGCCTTGGTGTTCAAAACCCCAAAATGTCAGCTCAAGACTCCACTTGGAGTCTGGGCCCCCATTTTAGGAAGCCCCTCTCTCTCTGGATATCTCTGCCTTACTATCTTTCTTCTATTGATGTGGAGGTGCTGGTGTTGGACTGGGGTGGACAATGTCAGAAATCACACAACAAGTGGTTATAGTCCAAAAGGTTTATTTGAAAATTCATGCTTTTGGAGCCCCTCTCCTTCAGATGTTAGTGGGAGAGGTAGTATCAGACACAGAATCGATAAGTAAAAGATCAAAGGGTCACACCACTGATGAGATGTATTAAACAAACCTGAGATGCTGTTAAATCTTTAATCAGTTAGAAGGTTTTAATTGATTAATATGTATATGTAAATCCCTGAATTCCTTTTAAGTCACTGTCCTGAGGGAACTAAAGGTTTTATCAGTGTAAAGAAGAGGTGATATTTTAGGTCAGACAATGCATGTTTGGTGTGAGGCCTTGTTTAGAATCTGTTTGTGCTTTGGTTTGGAGTCAGACTGGCTTTGCTTCTAAAGTAGGAATATATAAAACGCCGCATTGACAGACTGTCTATAAATTGTGTGCTTTTTGAACAAAATAGAATGTATCTGCAAATACAAATTCACCCCATAGATTCACATGAGTGTGTGTGTGTGTGTGTGTGTGTGCGTATGCGTATGAGAGGAGGGGGAGACAGAATGTGCGTGTCTGAGTATATTGGTGAAACCATGCAGACGCTATGACAACGAATGAATGGACACTTGGAGGGCCAAAGGGCCTGTTCCTGTGCTGTAATTTTCTTTGTTCTTTGTTCTTTGACACCGGGCAACAATCGCCGACAGTGATATTCCCTCCCTGTGGGGGAACACTTTAGTGGTCAAGGACATTCGCTGTCTGATCTTCAGGTAAATGTCCACTAAGGCAGACTTTGGGATACACAACAATGCAATATACTCACACATTCATACTCTCTCTCCCCCGCACACGCACGCACACACACACACACGTTCACACACAAGTACACACAGAGAAGTACACACAAGTAAATCTATGTGGTGAATTTATATTTGCAGGTACATTCTATTTTGTTCAAAAAGCACACACTTTATAGATAGTCAATGTGTTTTATAAATTTACACTGGTGAAACCTTTAGTTCTCTCAGGACAGTGACTTAAAAGGAATTCGGGGATTTAAATATCATATTAATCAATTAAAACCTTCTAGCTGATTAAAGATGTAACAGCAGCTGAGGTTTGTTTAATACATCCTGATCAGTGGTGTGACCATTTGATCTTTTCCTTATAAATTCTGTGTCTGATACTACCTCTCTCACTAACACCTGAAGAAGGAGAGAAGCTCTGAAAGCTTGTGTTTTCAAGTAAACCTGTTGGATTATAACCTGGTGTTGTGTGATTTATGACTTTCTTCTTTTGCACTCCACCTTTGACAAGATTTTCAGCATCAGTCCTAATGCCCCCTGGTGTCCAATAGTTTGTTCTTGTGAAGTGACTTAATAGACTGTGTGCTTATATTGTTGTCATTCTAAATGATAGCATTTAGTTTTTGTGCATAATGTCCAATAAGCTAATAAGTGTACTTTCTGTTTATGATCGATAGACTTGCGGAAACATTACTACACACTCAGTACATCAATGGGCCCCGCTTTGGTTGAGCAGATCACATGTTTCCTGTACAGCACCCAGGTTCTCAGTCAATATGAGCTTAATGTCATCAGCTCCAAGTCTGATATCCTTACAAAGGCATCTGAACTACTTTCTGCAGTCATCCGCAAGGGGAAGAAAGCCTGTGGCATCTTCTTTCACGCGCTTGCAACGTGTGATCCACATCTGAGCAACCAAATAATGGGAACGCAAGGTAAATGTTGTTCTGACCAAAAACCATTGACCAGTGAATCATTTTGTTGAACCAATGGTCATTTTGTTCCTCCCTCCACCAATGTTTCCAGACCTGCTCGGTGCTTGCAGCATTTTCTGTTTTCCTTACATTTTGATACCTTCAGGCACTGTTTGTTGACACCGGTCCTTTAGAATAGATTTTGCTTTGTCATCCAAGGCTGTAATGAGTCAGGAACTGAATGACACTGGCGGAACCCTAACTGGGCAGTAGTGAAGGTTATTGCAAAACTAATGCTAAATTCCATTACTTCACCGATGATCGAGAGTAGACTGATGGAGAAGTAATTGACCACGTTGGATTTATCCTGACTTTTATGTACAGGACATACCTGAGCAATTTTACACATTGTTGGGTAGATGCCAGCATTGTAGCTGTACTGGAAGAGAACTGATAATTTATCAATTATCATCAGTAATTGGAAACAGTATTTCCTTTTTAATTATTGAGTGACCAAAGGGGACTTTGCATGTAAACTTCTAATTGGCTGTGTGGGTGCTTACTGATGCTGATTAATAGTTAAAAACAAAAAAAAGTCATGGTGATTTGGTGGTGGGAAAGCTGTTTGGTTGTGTGTGATAACACTTCTGGATAAGGAAAAAAAAAGACTAAAGTCAGGCTCATGTGGCACAATGGTAGTGTCCCTACCTCTGAGCCAGAAGGCTTGAGTTCAAATCCCACCTGCACCAAGATGTGTCATAATACCTCTGAAGAGGTTGGTTAGAAAATAAAATAATTGCAAAGTTCATAAAAATGAACATTTTGACAGTCTGTAAAATTAAAACCACCAGAAATTCAAACTGGGCTGCTGATTGATATTGAGTTAACAGTACACCTTATGCTGTTTAGAATTAGAATTAGGTTTTATTGTCAAGCGTACCTGAGTACAGGGATACAGAAATACAGTGGAAAGTGTACACCACTCCCAGTGCCATCTTAGGTACCAAGGTACCTAGGTACAAAGTTTTAGGTACAAAGAAGAAAAATAAGGAAATAAAGTTAAAAATTCAACCTTAAAGTTCTTCTCAGTATAAAGTAGAGAAATAAAGAAATGAAGTTAAAAGTTCAACATGACAGTCCCTTCTTAAGTGCATGGCCAAGTTGGGCTCACACTCCCCACAAGGGTACAATCTCCATGCTTGATGCCACTGCAGATGACAGGAGACCTTGGGCTTACTCTTCTCTGCGTTGGGCTTGCTTTCTCGTCCTCTCCCGTGCTCTCTCACTGTCGCCCATGCTGGACTCAATCTCCTCCACACTGCACCAAAGCCAACTCCTTCCATCGTGAAGAAACTTTGCCTCAGGCGTCGTGAAGCTGCCGATCTCTCCACAGAAGGTAAGTAGATTAAAGTAAGAGAAAAAAGCTGTGAAAGAAGGAAAAATAGGTAAAAGTGGACAGAGCAGATGAGTTCCGAGCAGGAGCCCACATGCTGCATTGCTACTCCACCACCATCTTGACAACAAGATGAAAGGCAAGATGTATGACATTCTCTTTGGAAATAATTATAATGTTTAGTTTGTGGTAGTAGCTTAGATTTGGCCATCTAACAAACACCAATGTAGTTGGACATATATTTACCTTGATACAAAAACTGAGAAACTCTGTGTGATCTTATTTATGTTTCATGGCTTCTCTGATTCTTAAATCTTTTTGATTATTTACTGCCAAATGTTAATAAATGTAGTAATGGTGTTGCGAATTGAAAGATAGTCGCAGTCCAAATGATCAAAATCCTCTCAGAATATGTTTGGAGTGAGCTATGATGTTTTATATAACCACAGGAAATATTGGAAACCCCTGAATAAGATTTGAAGTATTCTCTGTCAATGGTAATTGCAGTCACTGGTTTCAGATTACTTAATGCAGTTTGACCGTGTTTACTGTGATATTCTTTATTCAGCAATTAGCTCATGTTCCTTTATTTCATAATCTTTCGAGATTACTTAAGTCCCCTCGCTGAAATGAGAAGTGGAAAATTCTGAATATAAACAGAATGAAGTCATAAGATAATTGCAGCACAGAATAATGCCATTTGAGCCGTCATGTCAGTGTCGATCCTCTGCAAAAGCAGTTGATATAGCACTAATCCCCTACTTTTTCCTACCTTTGCATTTTCAGGTAATGACCTAATTCACTTTTGAATGCCTCAATTGAATCTGCCTCCACCACACTCTCAGATAGTGTATTCCAGACTCTATAGATGGAGGAATTGCAGTTTCCCAGTTAGGAACTGCAGATTGGGAATATGCCTCAGGCATGCCAGAGGACTATCTGCCAGAGGACTATCTTAATGATAGGTTAACAGAGCTGCTGAGATCTATTGCTAACTAGGTGTCACAGTTGACCTTTGTGTAGCTTTTAACAGCAATGTGCTCAGTGTTATATGATGAGTGGCAGTTATTCGTTATAGAGCTGTGTATAACATAATGCATATAAGTTGTTGACAAAGCAATGGCAAGGCTAATGATGCTGTTATTTATGTGCAAATAGTACACCTTGAGATGGGAGTCAGGACGAAGCTCAGATATTCAAAAGCTGTTGAACAATTTGTGTCACTGAGTTATATAACACCTACATCTCAGTGCCTGGCACAACATTGAAATAGATAAACAGTGTGTGGGTGCTATGCTTTGGTTTCATTTACACACTAAACTTTCCACATCAATTTAAGTCTTGTCCTTTTCTAAGCATGTAAGTTCAATCACGACTGGCCAAGCTCTGTGGTAGTGGAATTGCTATCATAATGCTGAATCCTTCAGGTTTTAATTGTAGAAGATTTATAAATGTAAAATTTTGAAATACCATTGTCCTCTTTCTGTCTCTTTTTCTCTCTTATCTCAGACTTTCTTTCCACCTCTTTATTTCTCATGCTGTACTTGACTTGGCTTGAAATACCCCAATGCTTTGTGCTGTCAATGTAACTAGTTCAGGAGAAAGTTCAGTTCACTCAGGCTGCAGATGCTCATTTTCTCTCACTCACACTTTCAGTAACGCATCATACAAAAGAATTTAAAATCTTAAACATGAAACGGCAAATATAACTAATGTCATATGCAAATGATATAATCCAAAGTGGCAAACTCACCCAGTCAGATCATTTCTTCCTTCTGCTAGTACTACACTAAATAACTTGCACGTGCTTGCAACCAAGTACAATGCAAGTCTGATATTGTGTGCCTAGTTCAATAGGCATGAACAGCACATGGCTGAGACCTGAATTTCATTTGAAAATGCTCCAAATGTGCACACCCTTTAAAGGCGTTTCTAAATCAAGTTGTTATTGCTATGAGATTTCAATGATGAAAAAGTATAATACAATTTCACAAATCTGATATTGCTTTTAACTATTTTAAATTGAAGGAAATGTACTTGCTTTAATTACAGTGAAATATTAGTACTGAGTTTGACTGACCTTTCTCTTCTGGTTTTGTGCAGTTAATTCTACTGGTCGTACTTTACCAGCCCCTTCATTTCAGAGGCTCACTTCTTCAAATGAGTATCTGTTGAGATCTCAAGGTAATAACAGAATTGGCGCTTCATTGTCCTTAATGAGCTGGAATAAGATGCTGAAAAGCCCAACGAGCAATCTAATATATAAACCAACTGCTAGGCTCAGTGATAGATAAAATACCAGAATAAAGTCCTTTGCTGGCTAAAAAGAGAAAGACAGTTAAATGCTTCAAGTAGGGATTGTCATTGGAACATTTACTTTATTGGAACAGTTAAAAAGCAGAAGACAAAGAGCTGAATGATAACCCCTGAAAACAGATGGTTTAGGGTCGGGATAAATTTTAAGATTTAAATGTCTGAGACCTGACCCAAATCCACTTTCAACACTCAGTAAAGGGTTTTCTGAAGGTAGCACAAAGGTAGCTGCCCTGCTTCTAGGAGGTTTTATAGAAGCCAATTGGGGAATCCAATGGGGACAGCTTCAGGGAGAATATCAGGTTTTTTTTTACAGCACTGATGTGTGAACCAGGAGGAGTGGGGGTGCTTGTTCAGTTTCCCATCGTTTCTCTAGCAGAGCCCTCTCCTGCTGACTGGGAACAAGAATTGTACTGCTGGGATCAGATCCTTGAGGACAGTTCTGCTGCCTACATCCATTGCCATTTGTGGAAGAGAGTTTCAAACATCTACTACCCTTTGTTTGTAGAAGGGCTTCCTGACATCTCTCCTGAAAGGCCTGGCTCCAAGTTTTAGATTTATGCCCCGTAGTTCTAGAATCTCTAACTAGCGAAAATGATTTATCTTTAGTTTCCATGTCCACCAGGCATCTTAAAGCAACTTACAGCTGTTCATTGCCTTTATAGTCACCGCAGTAATTTAGGAAAAGTGGCAGCCAATTTGCACACAGCTAGGTCCTGCAAACAGCAATCTGACAATGGCCAGATCATCTGTTTTTTTTTCAGACTTTTATTCAATGGATAAATAAGATCAGGACATCAGGAAGCTCTCAATTGCTTTTTGTCAAACTTGATTAATTGTCACATGTACCTAAGTATAGTGATGAGCCTTGATGTGAAAATGTGAGGGAACATGAATGAACTAGGATTTCTATGAATAGATTATGAGAAAGCTTTGAAACTGGTTAAAAGAGTTTAGGGAGAGATGCCTCAGATAGAATGATTAAGACTAGGATGGGAATTTTACAAATGCTGATTGAAGGAACAGTGAACGTACCAAGGGCCCAGGTTTTAATTTGTCACTCTTATTCTCTGCAGCAAGGCCTTATGTTTCAGAGCTGCCAAGAACTGGAGAAGCGTTGTCCTTTCAAAGTGAGTTCTTTACTTGTTTAAACATTGTAAACATATTCATTATGCTGCAAACATCAGGCTCCAGACGTCACACGAGTGTAAAAGACCAATAAATTAAAGCTGAGGAATTTGATTTCCAGAATATCTTTAGATGACTTCACCATAGGGGAGCATTGAAGTAATAATAGTTTAATTCAGATGGAGCAGGTAAACACAACATTTCAGTCACCATGTTATCACTGGACATAGGTATTCCAGAATGAAAAAATCTCATTTAAACTCAATAGCCTTTGGGTATCATACTTTAGTGTGGCAATTAAAAAACAAGACAAATAAAATAGAAAACAAGTAAAAGTAAATTACAATCTAGAGACAGGCATTTCCAGTTACATGAAGGTGGGCTAGAATCTTGTTATGGCCTGTCACAGGCCTAAGACCATTGTGCAGCACTGAACGATACCTAACCAAGAGTCCCCTGAGAACTCTCCAGATTGTGTTCTGGTGATAGAATGTAGAGTTGAGGGTGAATGAGCTTATTGAATGGGCTCAGGGGGTCCAATGACCTACATAGCAATAAAGGGCCAGCTTTATCCTGATGGCTACCCTTTCTGCTTTCTCAGAACAGAGTGTTAACATCAGGACCTGCAAGTAGGTAACAGGAATTCCTGCAATTTAAACTGCCCACCAAGCTTTCTGGGATGGAATGAGGAGAGAGGAGGAGAACAAAGTAGGGAGAGGCTGAAAAATAGCACTTGCCTGTGTTGGTTTTTTTGTCGCTGGCGAATCTAAAGCAGCTCCTTTTAAAATAAAAAGAGTATTTCATGGGACATTGACACCACTGGCAAGGACAGTGTTTTTTTACCTACCCCTCCCAACTGCCCTTGAACTGAGTGGCTTGCAAGCCCACTTCAGAAGGACAACCACATGACTGTGGGTCTTGAGTCATATGTAGGTCATACCAGGTAAGGATGGCAGATTTCCTCCCTTAAAGGACATTAGTGAACCAGATGTTTTGTACAACAATTGACAGTGGTTACCTTTGGACAATTTATTTAATTTCAGATTTTATGGAATTCAAATTTCACATTCTGCCCGAGTGAGATTCAAACCCATTTCCCCAGACCATTAAGCAGGAGACGTGGGTGACCAGTCCAATAACATTAGCACAATGCATCTGCCTCCCCGGTTAGTAGGAGGGGCTTTAGATGGCCAAAGTTTTGCTTGTGGGGAAGTGGAGGGAAGGAACGAGGAGGGAAGATTTGCAAAAGGCCGAGTGATGGTGAGGGATTGGATGAGGAAAGACAGATGCAAGGTCCAGTGGAGCAAATGTCTCCACAGCTTTGGGGAAAATTGCGTCGCCAAAAACAATCTGCAGTTAGAGCCTGGTAGGGCATGTGGTGTTCAACTTGCCAAAGTCATTATTTGTGGCAAGACATGGGAGGGGGCTGCCAGCAGGAGGTTTACTTGCTGTCCAGAGGGTTTGTAACAATAGCAGCCCATGTGGAGGGAAATGTGGAAAAGGGTTTGTAACAATAGCCCGTGGGGAAAAGGGGATGTCAGAAATCTAAGAATAGTTGTGATTGGTGGAAGGATCAAGCATCAGGTCAGCTACTTGGACTTACGGTTCTTTCAGACAGAAACTGACAAATAGGGAGGTTGAACTGGAAATAAAATGGAATTCAGATTAAAATCCCAGCACTTAAAGCAACAAATTTAAATCTAGGAGGGTCGGGCGTCTGCTGGGGAATCTAAATAGGGGGCCCCTGGATAAATGCCACAGTCTGGATCCTTTCTGCAGCTGACTTTAGAGCAGATAATGTTTTACTTTTTATGGCAAAATACAACAAGTTTTCCCTAATACAGCTTGAAAGGGTTTACCATTCAGGATTATCAAGAGGGGAGTTCTGATGAAGGACTCAGAACATTAACTCTGCTTTCTTCCCACAAATATTGCAGACCTGCTGAGTTTCTCCAGCAATTCCCATTTTTGTCTGGAATAGAATTTCCTGTTCAGCTGCCAACAATTTGACAGAGAAACATCCAAAACCTAGCGTAGGTGTATCATGTAAAAGTTACTTCACTTGTCACAGCACCTCAACTTAATTCATACTTTTCACCAAAAATAGTCTGGGTAAACTTTCAAAATGAGCTGCAACCTATGAGATGGTCAGCAGAGTTTTTTTTTCTTTTACTTCTAGAAGAACAGCGCCAGTCACTGCCGGTAATCTGCAAGATTTGTATCTGCAATTCAAGTCTAAACAATTGTACCTTTGGGTCAAACAACAACATATCCATTACGAGGTCGATGTCATTATCTGTCTTGGATAACTTTGCAGAGCCAGCATCCAGTGTGAATGCAGAATGTGGTACGTGCACTTCTTGCCTGAATGTTGCTTTCTTCGTTCTGTCAATCAGAGATTAGAACAAAGACCTTCTATTTGCTGGTCCAAAAATTTGTCTCAGAGCTGAATTAGGGAGCTCCGTACTGTCAGAACCATTTCATTTAAGTCAACAGTCCATTTATAATCAAATGAGAATAATATGAAATGAATTAGTAAGAGCTGAGCTGGCCTGACATCTTTTCTTATGGCGTTTCACTTAGATCAGCTCTCCGTAGGCAACAATATCCAAAGAGGCTAGAATTGGATGAACGTTATTGAATGAGAATAAATCGTCTAGCAAAAACTCTACTCAGCAAATAAGAAATTTGACTCAAAAATCCGAAAGAACTGTGGATGCTGGAAATCAGAAACAAAAACAAAAACAGAAATTGCTGGAAGAACTCAGCAGGTCTGTGGAGAGAAAGCAGAGTCAACATTTCGGGTCCAGTGACCCTAAGTTCCAGTTTTGAAGAGTCACTGGACCTGAAACATTAACTCTGATTTCTTCCCACAGATGCTGCCAGACCTACTGAGTTTTTCCATGCAATTTCTGTCGAAATTTGGCTTAATCGGGCAAGTTAAGGGAGTACTTATTTCCCTGGTAAGGAATACACTGCTGAATACATTCATGTAAGATTAATGTATTTCAATACATTGTAATGTAAATAATCAAGGTAATAATTGTTGAGGTACTACAGGAAATCTAATCACTGAACTTGGTCTATTCTTTAAATAGGGAAGGCCCTGGAAAAGGACTCTAAGTCCCACAGATGTGGCAGGTGCAATGAAATGAGCACAAGTAGCAGGGAAGCCATCCAAGTGGAATCTGACATTGAAATAATCAGGTCCAAGTTGCAAAACATAATTATTGGAAACCAAAATACATTCACTTTGGTGGAAGAATTCAGCGACGAAGATGATAATGAGGAGAAGGAGCTGGACGAAGAGTATGAGGAAAATGAATGTGAGGAGAGAGAAGATACAGAACAGTTAACGAATGAAACCAGGCAGCCAGAAGTAGTGCAGCAATTGGAATGCTGCAGGTTAATGGCTGGTTAATAAAAATGGATCCATCAGCTGAGCTTTATGGGATGTTTACGGTTCTGTCCTCGCTCGCCTAAGGATGGTTGCCCCCTTGGCTATTTCATGGGGGACTTCTACCCTACCCCCACCCCCGGGACAGGAAGTACACCTCAGGGAACTGCTGGCCAATCAGACACTGACTTTTTCCCAGTACTGATGGGATGGCCACTGTCAGTACTGCACTCAGGGTGGCGGTGGGGTGTTGAGGGGGTGAGCTGTCCTGAATTTCGGGGTTTATTGTTACACCATTTTTGTATTTGGAATGAATTCAATCTTGAACGTACCTCAAAGACTGATCATCTGGGCTGGACAATTCCAAAGATTCACAATCCTCTGAGTGAAGGAAGTCAGCAGCAATGACCAAGAGGCCAGAGAGTGAGGGGGTTCTCATATGGGTGGCGTGTTACAGAAATAGGGAGGGTAAGGAACACTCGAGAACAAGCACTCCCAATTTCTCCAATCCGGACAATGATCAGGATTTGGTGAGTGTAAATACAACAGATGGGATAAGACCAGAAAACAATGCTGCCCTCTCCCAGTTGCAGGATTTATTGTTGGAAGTGACAATGATGACAAGGATCTCAAAAAGAATGCATATGTCAGGAATGTCAACCATTAATTATGCATGGGTGTCTTAAGATTCCCTGTGTAAGTTGCCCTGCATGCCTTGTATCCAGCAATTAAATGGTTAAAAAGGTCAGTAGGAAGTGAAATCAACAGCTCCCCACATATGAAATTTCAAATGTTAAAAAAAACATACATTACCCTACAATACAAAGGACATGTTTTTCATTTTGTTGGAATCCAGCTGTACCACTTATTTTGGTCAAGCACATATTTTAACATCTTATGTGGAACCATGCTTTTCGAAGGATGGGAGGCTATCGAAAAGTTCTACTGGAATAAAGGATTTTAGATATGTGGATAGGGCTGGAGAAGTTAGGTTGTTCTCTTCAGAGCAGACAAAGCTAATGGGGCTTTAGGCTCATCACGATTTAAAGAGGGAAAAATGGTTTTCAATGCTGAAGATTCATTAACCAGAAGATACAGATTTAAGTTATTTGACAAAATAACCAGAAGGTAAATGGGAAAAAAAGGGCTTTTTTTTTATACAGCAAGTGGTTTGGATTTGGCTTGCATGACCTGATAGGGTGGTGGAAACAGATCAAAAGCAGCCTTAAGACAATTCGATAAATACCCAAAGGAGAAAAGTTGCAGAAATAGGAGGATGAAATGGACAAGTGGAACTATCTGAATTGCCCTTTGAACCTTTGGCAGAACCCCAAACAGTCAAATAGCCTCATTCAAACCAGTACCTGGCTCTGCACCAGACCACTGGTTAGTCACTCACTAGCACTCAGCTCCACACTACTGTACATAAATATAAATGTATATCAATCACTCCTCTATCAATGGGTAGAGTTTATAAGCTATCTTACCCGTGAATGGTAACAATAAATTTATTTCCATGTATTAGCTTAAGTATGATCAAGACTGCCAATGTGGAAAATAAAAGTGTTTTGTGTGAATAAAATATGAATCATTTTATACATGGTCTCAAAAGTTATGGGCATCCTACTGTCACATTATTTCAGTAAAGCTGTCACTTTATTTCAACTGACTTCCAGCACCACATACGTTGATCTCCTTAAATAGTCATTATTTTCACTCATTATTTGTAGGTGGCAGTGTAAACTGGTCACTCTCACCACTGCTAACGTTCAGTAGCAATAGCTTTGCACCACCTACAAGATGCGCTATAGTAACTCATCAAGATTCCTGTGACAGCACCTTCCAAATCGGTAACCTTTACCATCTAGAAGGACAAGAGCAGCAGACAAATGGGAACACCACCATCTGCAAGCTTCCCTGCTCATCATCCTGACTTGGAAACACATCGCCATTCCTGGGTCAAGATCCTGAACTCCCTTCCTAATGTACCTGTACAGTGAGCACTGGCTCTTCCCATTGATAATGAAAGACAACATTCATTATATAGATTAAATTCTTTTTAATTGATGCATGAACAGTCATTGCATTTACATTGAACATACAGGGAAACTCAGTAGTACGTGAACTGAATGGCATGTCTTGTTCACATCAGCTCTACAGTAATAACGTTGAAACTATATATTGCAGTACTGTGGAGTGGAGTAAAAGAATGGGAAATTATGGCAATTCATTCCTTAAGTATTCAGGCTAATCACCAGTAAGCCAAGACTGAAAGGCAACATGTTGGATTAGCAATGAATTTATTGCAGTAAGCTGGGCTGATCAGCTCAGTGGGTGACTGGTCACAAAGCTACTTCAGGAAAAGTTAAGACCACAATCAGATCACATGGTCTTATTAAATGGCAAAGCAGGCTCAATGGGCTGAATGGCCTCCTATCCCTGCTTCTTGTGATCTTAAGATCTACTGCCATGGAGAAAGCCATTAGTTTGAAGAAGTTTCAAAAGAGAGCATGAATCGAGTACTTCACATAAGTGCAAAAACTGTCCTATGTAAGCTGGCAATGAAGTGTTCAATACAGGTCTGATGTCAGTTTTGACAAATACTGACAATTTTCTGTTGCTGAAAACAGAGAGGGGTCCTTGTCGTATATCCATCAGCATCCAGTTTAAAAATAAATGCACCTTTGTTTTTAAATGATAAAAAAGTGAGCTCACATTGCCCTTAACAGCTTTCTCCCTCACCTATAAACTGTTGACACAAAGTTTAAGTTAAAAAAAATGACTCCATCAAATAAGATCACTACCTTAGAAGATGTTCAAGTTTAAACTAACATCTTCTGTAGCATATTCAATGTACATATACTGCACAGATTAAATATTATACAAGTTATCAATTTTTCACTGGCTGCAAGTGGATTTAAATGTCCACTCCCAATGTCAGTGGGGTCCAAACCCTCCTGTTAATAAAATATATTACAATTATATACAGGTAACTTACACTATTTCATAAAAACTGAAAGAACTCCAGCTGCTGTAAATCAGAAACAAAAACAGAAATTGCTAGAAAAGCTCAGCAGGTCTGGCAGCATCTGTGAAGAGAAAGCAGAGAATTAACGATTCGGGTCGAGTGAAGGGTCACTCGCAGAGAAATCAGAATTAATGAATTAATTCACTCAACCCGAAAAACTAACTTTGATTTCTCTCCACAGCTGCTGCCAGACCTGCTGAGCTTTTCCAGCAATTTCTATTTTGTTACATTATTCAATGTTTGATAAGACAAAGATATGACCATACAAATGAACCCTGACTTTTATTAATACATGAAAGCTAGATAATTGTGAATTTTAGCATAGTCAGTCCATGTTCCAGTGTGTTTGTGGATCAATTTCCAGTTATTTTGTTCTGAAATGCCTCTTCAAAGAAAGAAGCAGCTTCAGGAAGAAAATAAAAAGGCACAAGTCTAAACCTCTTTGATAGTTCGTTCCTTGGGTGCTGCTAGTCGAAATTCCGATGCACTTTCCGAGGACATATAAAAGGACTGAGTTTTCCGTTTTAACCTGGCCCGCTTGTTTGCCAGGACCAGACTTCGCCGACTGGAACTTATGATTTCAGAAATGAATTTCTTACAGTCAACACAAACTTCCATCGTGCTCCAGTCCTCCATCAACTCTTTGGGAAACTCTAGGCTATCGGCTGGTTTCTCTGAAGGTTTGGACACTGACGGAAATCTGTAAAAGATTGAAAGACTTGTGTTAAAGAGGGACGTCAGCAGCCACATTGTATTTATGTGGCAGGGGCTGTTCAGCACTGGGACCTGTTGGTGCCCTGAAAATAAGCTCAAAGATGGTTTTATTGGCAGGGGCATTTCCCCATAATCTCACTTATTAATTCTGATACATGTGGCTGATAAAACCTCATTATTCTCCTCATTGTCCTGAAGGCAGAAGGGAAATGAACAGCCCTG